CAAATGGGCCACAGCCCAGGTCTGCGATGGGGGGAGTTGTCTCCCTCCTTCCCCGGCAGCCCTGTGGGTGGTATCACCTGGCAGGGTTTGTGCAGGTGAATGGTTGCCCACAGTGTCGGGCTGTGCCACGCTCCGGGGAGCCGGAAGGTAGCTCCCTTGCAGGAGCCCCCAGCCCCATCCTGTCCAAGGCCAACAGAAGCTTTTTGGAAAACAGGAATGAGTGCGGGCCTGCGTTTCCCAGGGTTTTCTGATGGAGGCCAGTTTTTGGTAGAAATGCACAACTTGTGGGCCAAAGGCTGAAAAGCTCTGCTTGCCCTGCTCTGAAAGAAGCCTCCAGAGGCCTTTTTGCTGAGGCATACTGCTCTGACTCGTTTGGTGTTTGTAAAAAGAAGAGGCTGTCTCTAGTCAGGCTGGGACAGAAATCTAAAGCAGAAGGCGTGAGTGGTGGTTGAGCACACCAGAGTTGCTAACATAGGCTACGCTGTCATGCAAGATAGCCAAATTACGCACTCAGTAACTGAATTGAAAATGCTAAAGTCTTTGTTACTGCTCATACATCCAGTTTCCTTGACTCCTTATTTTTGTTAATCTGAAACATCGTTGAGTAACAGAAGACCAGTGACTTGAGCCCAGGAAGGTGTTTTTTCTCCAAACTTGGACATCATTACTGTCTTCCGGTAATCTGAATAACAGAAGTATTCATCAACACAGGAGAGAAAGCAAAGTGAGAAGCTGGTTAAACTTGCAAAACTCTTATCAGAGCATAGGAGTCATTGAAAGTCCATACTGTTTACAGGAATCGGACCTTTGCGATTGTTTCTACCTTAAATGGTGAAAAGAAGCAATATTTACATGATTTGTTTTACTCTAGGTAGGCATCAAACTCACAGGTCTGAATTGCTCTCCTTTCCTTTTCCCACATTCCCTTGATGATGTGGAAACTTAATTTTCTAACTTTGGTTCGTGCACTGCACTTGAGAAGCTATCATCTATTGCAGATGGTGGAAAATCCCACTAAATCTTACATACTATTATTCTGTGTCCTAGAACAAAGTAGGAAAAAAGGTTGTAGAGAGGTTTTCTGCTTTCAAAAGCAGATGAGTGGTCATGGGAGTACTGGGAGAAAATAGCTGATCTTGCATAATACATACGCAAAAAGGTTTCTGGCAAGCGCTCACTGGTAGCAGGTAAAAGTAGAGGAAGCTATGATCGGAGAGATTCCCGTGTCATCATGTCTGCCTTTTCTTTCCCTTGCTATGGCAGCCAGGACAGATCTGGCCATATAACTATGAGCTTGCTGCAGTGCCTTTCAAATAAACTTGTGTTAGCTGTGAAAATGAAATCATAGGACCGCGGCATTAAAGGACAGAATAATCTCAGAGTGTTCTTCCGAATGATGATGATGTCTTATTGTTTGTGTGTTTGTTTGTGCTAGTGCTCCAGGCCTGCTGTGTTCCCTGGGTTATAAATAGCTGTCCACTTTCTAGTGAAACTACACATGTGCACTGTCTGGTTACACTTTCTAGTGGAATGACCAGGTGAAAGATTTCCAAGACTAGTATTAAATGAAATAGGATATTCCTGGGTAGCTTTTATTTTGTAGACAGAGAACCACCGGAGATTTTACATCTGGGAAGGATCATATCACAGCATCTGGTGCTTGGCTGTGAATTACAATTTGGTGTTGAAAAATGACCAGGTACAACGTGAAAAAATTTTACAGTGATAGCAGCCGGAGTGACAAACTTTCTAAAGTATAATCTTACAGGTTTTGTTTACTAGGTAGATGTGAACTCCGCAAATAGCTGTACCAGTAGAAGCCGTTGATCATTAGCCAGTCCTCAGCTGCCCACCACTACACCTTGCAGAGGGTTTCTGTCTCCTATCTAAGCATTTCTTCATGTACGCCATTGCAACCAAAGGCATCAGGTTATCAAAAATGAGCTGCATAAGCTGATACGGTTCATTTTGTCTGAGATGGGTTAAAAGCACCTGTGTGAGACTTCATGGGGCTAACCTCTGGCAAGAGGCTGGAGGCAGGCAATTGGGGACAGCATCTTCCACCATTATGGCTGGGTCCACCCACAGCCCTGGCATAAGGACAGCCTGGGCTTCCTTCAGAGAGCTGCTGTTAGTTGAAAGAGACTATCAGTACGATCATAGCTAAATTTGTTTCCCAATTAACTCTTAACTTTTCTTTGCTGTGAATATGTCATGTTCTTGTTCGAAAGTCAGGACTGACTGCAGTGAGTTGTATTTTAAATCAGCTGCTGAATCCTATCTGCTACTCCACTGGATCTGGAAAGTGAATTTAAGTTTTCCTAGATCTGGATTTCCCAGCTCTGTCTGATACCCTTCTTTGGCAGCAGGACATGGAAAGTTCTACCTTGTGATTTATTAGTGTCTGAGTTGGAGTCGTAACTACAATAACAATGGCTACACCACCACGCTGAGGAAATTACCTGTGAGGAAGAGAGAGGGATCTACATATTCCTCGTCCCAGGCAGGCTGCTACTGACGCTAATGGTCTAATGAACAATTGGCTCAGACACATTTTGGGCCCCTTACATGCACAAAAATGTGTTCCGCAATCACTCCATCCCAGTGCCAGCACCTCAGTGCTCCAGGACTTTTCTTTTCCTGTCTTCAGCATTAAATCCATATAATTCATTTGGCTGTGAGACATTACTAGTTTCTGTCTTAATGGGTATGGCAGAAAGCAAACAAATAACTCTGAGGGCAGCAAAATTAATAAAGACTGTTTTTCTGTAGATTTGTGTCTCCCTGCTGATTGTCTTTAATTAAACAGCAGAAGACTACAGTGTGAGCATGCCTTTTAATAGATGTCAGAGAACAAAGAGAAAGACATTATAAATATCCCAGCTGGGGATGTTTGTCTAATTGGAGGTAATGTCTTAATTGGCTTTCCAGATTCATTGGACGTGAGAGAGGAGGAGGGTATCCTGGTGTCTAGTAAGGTGTTCCAATGTGAAACATTCATGCCTTCCCCACTATTTATTGAACACATATAATTTACGTGTTCCTTTTCCAGGTTAAGTAAGGTGGCCTGTCCACCTAGGTAAGGCCGGTTGATTTTGTCAGTGGGTAAAATGACGCGTCATGATTACCAAGTCCCTTTTAGTCCCTACCTACTATTCGTCCTGCCTCCCTTGCTTCCAACAAGAATCCATTTCCCTAAATCATGACAACCTGCAAATGTAATTTATTTACAGTCAAATTAATTTTATACAATAGTTCGTGTATGACTCACAAAGATATGTACAATATCTACAGATATGAATAAAGCTCTTCTGGAGAAGAGTTGAACCACCTTGTCCTGTTTGGTTTTTGAGAGCCCAAGGTTGAATAAAAGCCTGTAATTAACACTGCCGCTTCCCACGTGCTCCAATGAGTATCAGATGAAATCAGTATTGTTGGCATTTGTCACCTCCTGGACTTGCTCCTTGATACTTCCTCACCTTCTCAGCCACTGCATCAGCAAGCAATGATAATTTGCTGTCATATCTGATGGTTATATCCACCACCAGTGTCTGACCACCCTTAACAAATACTAGGTCAGGCTTGTAGAGCTTGTTTTGGTGGTCTCATAGGAGTGGCTCGTGAAACACTAGCCAAGCCTTCTTTTGAGCTTCTTCAGCCAATAGATCACACAGTTGGTTATGTCTTTTGATCCTAGCTTCCTGAACTGGCGGGCAATACCCCATAATATGTGTGCAAGTCTCACTCTCAGCTTGACAGTGCTGGCAGATCTTGAGTTTCCTGTCTACCCCAATTCCCTCATGGGGTAAACATTAGCTCTTAATTGTAAGGTGGTATTGAGCTTCCTGTGGGGAATGCCTCTATAACATTCAATCCGGTAGTTACTAATTTTATCTTTTTCAAAGTTGGCAATTCCACGCCCTGACACAGTAACCTGCTCCAATTCAAAAATTCTTCCATCCGCCAGTTACTAGGTCTTGGAAGGATGACCTTTGGAGCGGAAATTTCCCATTCTGAGACTGGGGCCTCACCGCAAACCACTTCTGGAATTACCATGACTGCTTTTGGGTCCCAAATTGATGGAGTTTTCTCTTCCCTTCCTCCCACAGCAATCCACAACTTTCTAATTCATTCTTGATACCTTCTTGATGAACTATTGATTTTTTAGTGTCATCAGAAGGGTGGGCAATTCGGTGCAGCTGACAGGCCTGCATGCTTGGGATTGATCCCACGAGTCTGATAATACCCAGGCCTCCATTGCATGTGCTGGAATAAAGAATGATGTCGCAAGTACAGGCAAGTAGATGTAACTGTTCCTTGACAGCAGATTGAATGGCCAAGTCAAAGGCTTGGAGGTATGTAGCCTTCATGTCGGTGTGGTCAGCTAGATAAAACAATCGAGGGATAGTAAATCCTTGCAAGATGTCTTCCTTCTGAAAAGGCTTCAGTGAAGCCTGCCCAATCCGCCTCAGCCGCTCAGTTTTTCTGACGGTTCAGGTTTTAATAACCCAACCCGTGGGTCTATATATATAGGCCCAGATATTTCTCAGAGCTGCTTGGGTCAATCATATTGAACAGTATGCCATTGATTGTCCAAGCAGGACAGTCATTGATTGTATAAGAGTCTTTCATTGCTGTGATGCAGAAGCCATGGCACTTCAGCCCCTGAGGCCAGTCAATTCACAGAAGACTTCAAAAATGTTAATGTTCTTCTGCATTCCATCCCAAGAATCACTCGGTATCACCAAGTCATCTGCAAAAGCTAATGTTATCCTTTTCGCGCAGTGCTGGAACCCATTGCCTTCCTCTTCCAGCTTGCACAGTAGAGGTTAACTGATAGATTGAATAAAAGTGGAGACATTGCATCGCCTTGCTTCACCCCAATCCGGATCCAAATGGGGTCCAGCTGTTCATTCTTCAGATCTCTCTGGGTATTAATATTGCAATAAAGAATTTTAATTAGGGCAATAATATGATCATCAATGCCCTTCTGTTTTAGAGCCATAATAATATAAGAGTGGCTTATGTTGTCAAAGGCTTTAGCCAAATCAATGAAGACTATTCTGATGGGCTGGTGTTCCCTCTTAGCATATCAAATAAGTAGCTGTAGTAGTTTTAAATTTTTGGAACAACTAGGTCATCTTATAAAGCCCCTCTGCCGCAAATGAATAGGACATGCCTTGGTCAGATGGGCTGTTTAGATCCTTGAAAACAGACTCAAAATGGTTGACCCAGTCACAATAGGTTGCTAATTATTGATGTTTCTCTGTCATTCAGGCAACACAGATTTTGATATTTACACTGTCAGGCATTCTTTTGCCATGTCCAGTATGACACTGGACACCAGCCATAGATTAAAAAGTTTCATTAGTTGGGTGTGCTGGGGATCTATGTTAGTTAGGTCCCTCAGACTCAAATGGTCTGGGCCCAGTGCTGAGTTATTACTAATTTCTCTGATGTTCTTAGAGATGTCTTTTGCCGTAATCATGGCTTTGAATGCCAAATTGTGGAGCCAATAGTCTTGAAAGCTCCCAAGCTTTGAATGTTCCTGGCAACTCCCATCTCGACTTGAACACAGTGCGTACCCTGTCCATCAGGAGACTGTACCTCAGGGATTCCGTGTCATCTAGGGTAATACTGACTAGTTTCCCTCTACCCAGTTGGAACAGCTACTGGAAGCGTAAGAATTCATAGAATTATAGAATCATAGAATATCTCAAGTTGGGAGGGACCCATAAGGATCACTGAGTCCAACTCCCCGCTCCTCGCAGGACTACCTAAAACTAAACCATATGACTAAGAGCGTTGTCCAGATGCTCCTTGAACTCTGGCAGGCTTGGTGACGTGACCACTTCCCTGGGGAGCCGACCACCCTCTCAGTCAAGAACCTTTTCCTAATGTCCAATCTGAACTTCCCTTGACACAGCTTCATATCATTTCCTTGTGTCCTATCACTGGTCACCAGAGAGAGGAGATCAACACCTCCCCCTCCACTGCCCCCCTTGAGGAATTGTCCCCGTTGCACTGCTCTCTTCTTCATCCACCTTTTCTGTCGACCCAAAGGGCATGCTTCCTGGTGCTTTCACATTAGGCTGGCTTTTGCCATAGTAGATGTAGCAAACAGGCATGAGTAGCAGTTTTCAGAGGTATCAGCAATCAGTAATTTTGGATCTTCCTCCCCCTTGATCACCTTCCTATAAACCCCTTGGAAGAAAGTGAAATTTATCAGATGTCAGCCATTCCAAGATAACCTTTCTGTAATGGGATTTCAACCTACCTTCTCCATGCGACCCAACATCATCTTAATGTTCCCCTCTTCCCATAGATGTTTCTTCCAATCTAGATCTTTCACCTTTTTTTCACTGGCATCTTAAGAAGTTCTCTCTGCTTGTCACTTATCTGTTTGGCCATTTTAGACAGAAAGTGCTCTGCTATCAGCTTATTGATATTTTTATGCCCCTCATACTGATTTTCAAGCTTTTGGAGTAAGTTAACCTCCGCCTGTGTCCAGCACTGCAGCCTCCTTGCCATACCTTTTTTTGGGTGGGGGACTGAGATCTGTTCCACATTCCTAGTAATTGGGTGGACCAGGTACTTATGTCGAGTCAGACCAATTTTAGTTTCAAACACACAATTGCATTCTCCACAGCTCCAGCCCTCTATCAGGGCAAATTCCACAACCCCCTTGCAGTTTGGGAAGCTGCAGGCAGTACTATGATGTTTCACGTTTGTTCACTGAAACAGGATCTTTTTCCTTCCATGAGCTCTCTTTAGATTATCAATTAGTCCTGATATTTCTCCTGTCTGGTTCATGCAACAAGGACATGATGGACTTTTATCTGGGACCTTCACAACCAGAGTACTATTGGTTGGAAGATTTCCGCTGGTAGCCAGGATAGGCATTGATGGCATTGGTGGAAGTTGGGCCACAGTCCTGGAGGGCAGGGGTTCCTCATCCTCCTCACTTTCCCCATCAGTTGCGTGTGGGCTGATGTTAGTGCCCCAAAGAATCGGTGAGGCAGTCACCTCATGCACCTCTGGTAACCTGACTAGATAGTCACTCCTGGTGGAAGGATGACACCATTCCAAACCACAAAAGTCCAAGTTTATAAACTGCAGCCCAGAAAGATCCATTTCCTCTTCCACCATTCTTTTGTGGTCCCTGATGTTCCTAAGGACCACATTATCCTGCAAGTCCAATGGACTTGTTTGTGTGGCCACCAAGCAACCTGTATCGGCCAGACCATAACATCATACGCGGGTGCGAGGGCAAACACAAGCCAGACAACCCACCCTAAAACAGCTGCCTGACTTTGCCCAATTACACCCATGGGCACAGGCTCTGGACAACGATCTGTAGGATCTGTTGCCAAAATTTGGTTTCACCGAAGAAAAACTATCGAGTGGTCAGTGAAGCCAGTCAATAGGGAGGAAGCAAGTATAACTCCAAACACGTTGGGGCAGAGGCTATCTTGGGTTACCCTGAAGGACATCCAGCAGGACCACGAGGATGTGTAGCCTCTACTGAAGAGCCCAGCTAGTAACTATGGTCCCATCTTAAGAGAGTCATGGTTACTCCTGCAACAAGTATAGAGATTACTCTACAGTCTTCCCTCAGTGGCACTGTGAATGAGTTGTCTCCTCTGTATTTATCTTTGTATTTCATGAACCCTGCTTAAAGTTTCCATTTTTTAGTCACTTTTATTTCTAGTGCCGTCAAATTTTGCTGTATTTGACTAATGGTTTCCAAAGTTAAAGCGGGATATTAACCAATACATGGAGTACAATTGTATCCACTTGTTTTCTTGGGAAACAAGGTTTTTATTTCCACATATACCAATGCAAATATATGGAAATCATGTTCCTGAGTCCGTCTGATATGCTCCACCCCTGTTGTTCCCGCCTGTGATTCCCAGGATGGAATCATTGGTGATACATTATCTTTCATGTTTGTTTCTTGCTGCTTTTTCCTGTGTGCTGGTAGGTACATGCACAGCCATGTTGTGACCTGAATTGGAGAACTGATCTGGTTTTAGGAAAAAAAGGAGATAAAGAGCCCTGCTGTAAAATAATATGTTTTTACTGAAGGCCTTGTCCCACAAAGCCCATTTGGTCAACATCTTTAAGGGGTATGGAGTACCTCTTACCTCCTTTTATGGCATAGTTTGGTGTATATTTCTTTTGCTGTCAGTACTAGCTTCATTATCTCCCAGTCCTCATTATGCAAGTGTTCACACCCACCCCTGCTACCCTGCATTGTTCCAGCACAAATGTTTGTGTGGTCTTTCAGTGAACAAATTCTTACTTTCTTGACTAGGCTCTTCTTAGCTGGCTCTGTTCCCTCAGGCAATTTACCAAACAGTCACACCTGCACAAAGAGGGGATCGGGAATATATGGTGGGGGCACAAATTGCTTAAGCCAGTTTAAGTACCACATGCTAAATGTGTAATCATAGCTTTACTTTAGCTTCTGTTTCTGTTGATGAAGTAACTTCTTCAAGATAGAGCACATACATCATTTAAAGACGTGACACCTTTTCTGCTCCAGCTTTCCAACTCCAGAACCTCTGGAAACCTCTCCCCTTTTTCTTCATTCTCCCTTCTTTCTGAATTGTTCTCCACAGAAGGCTCTCGCATCAGACTCTCCTGGTAGAAAGCCAGTTATTCCTCTCAGAGGATCCATCCAGTGTTAATGGCTCTTGATGGCTCTTTCATTGCTTTGCAGCAGTTTATCCACAAGATGCTCAGTGCCTCATGGAAGTAATGTGGAAAATGAAGTTTGACATGTAGCATTGTTCCCCAAATCGAGGCATTCATAACTTGACATGAGCATGTATCCTTCAATCTGTCACTGAAATAATGTTTGACATAGATCCCAGAACAGAGGCAGGAAAACATAACAGTTTTCATCAGTTTTGAAAGCATAATTAGATTTTTCCACTTTTCTACAGGATTGCCAAATTGCATAATGAATGGTTCTTCCAGATGCCAGCTTCTACTCTATATCCATGAACAGGGAAGTGAGGAAACAACGATGAGGAGTTTCCTCTCCAATGGCCCGATCACTAATATCCAATAAAATCAGTAAGTCTGTGCAAGCTTTTGGTCACTTCTATTGACTGCATAGTTTTGCACTCCTGAAGCAAGATTTGCAGAGGAGTGATAACATATTCCTTTTTTTTGGCTTAACCTTTGTCAACGTTGTTTTCCTTAGTCTGCTTCAGAAGAGCATGTGTAGCTCTTCTGGCATCATAGCTGATTGCTTTTGAACCAGGAATGCAATCCTGGACAGAAGCTGCTGTGCAGTGCTCTCCTCTTTTGAACTATGCATGAGACACATTAGTATTTTAATGCTGGCAGAGGCACAGCTAGTGATCTCCTTAGTTAAGTTCATTTTCATAGCATGCACAGTTGCTAGGTTTCGTTCCACATGGTAGTGTGGAGTAATTAAAACATCTGCTGCATTCCTCCAATGTTTTATTCCTCAGCGTAAAACGCTTTCTGAGATTAATTGCTTTGGTCATGTATCTGAACATCCTACCTCATAACACCATTCATTAGATAACAATATCAGAGCCTATTTCTCCTTATAGAGAAGTCAGTTCTCCCGCTCTGAATTGTTATTTACATATGCTATTATCATGCTGCTGCAGTATATGTCTGCAACAGCCTAAACTATGCACTTTTACAAAAGTCTTTTTTAATGAGCTGATTATAAAAAATTATGTGGCAGCCATGTGGGTATGCTGCTGAAGGCCTCCCAAGTATTGAAGTCGGTTCCGTGGGCAGCCCGGCTGACTGAGAAGTGAAGCTCTATTGTTCTCAGTGTAAACATCAGAAGTAAATAAAATAAACCTTGCAGTTTGTTTAGCACTGTTAAAGCTGGTGATTCTTACTCTCAAACATAGTATTGAGATAGTTTTAAAAATATTAAAGGAGAAGTTGATAACAGGATTCCATTTGATTGAGTGGCCTAAAGACTCTTTAATCCCCTACAAAGACTACATCTGTAGATTAGGTGTTAGTCTCTAGATAAAGGTAGTAAAAATCCCCTTTAGAGTTCAGTCCGTGGACTGGAGAAAATCTTCAAGTCACTAAAGTGACTGAAATTTCCATCCTCTATAAAAACTCAAACCCCTCTAGCCCCTCTGTGTAAATGAATGCTATCAAAAGCTATAAGAAGAATTCAGTGGGCTGCTTCATCCAGATACACTCTGACGTGCAGTTTGGGTTCACTGGTCATTATGAACCTTTGAAAAATTGTTTAGAAGGGTTGGACAAGATGTTCATAGAGTGCATTCCTACTAGTCCCAACTGTAGCCTGTTGTCTGCATTTAAAGCTTTTTATTAATTTCCTTCCAGGAAAAAAAAAGTCTTTAAAAGTCTAGGCAGACATTCTCCCACCAGAGCTTTTATTTCTCTTCCAGTAGACCTAGTAGTTACAAACCACTGAATTGTAAGCAGCTCATGTGAGTTGATGACAAACATTTAGAGGAGAGTAACTGACTTGGATCATTCGGTTAGCCGTGGCCTATCCATGAATTTCCTTTGAAATATAGGTAAAACTTCAGCAAACACATGATTTCCGTTGCTATAGTACTTTCTAAGTCACATTCACTTTTTCATATTAGTTTAACTAAAGCTTTGTAGTTCACGTGAGTCCTGTAAAATGGAATACTTGTAATTAATTCAGTTCAAATAATCCACCTTTTCTTTCTGTGTGACTTCTTTTGATAAAACCACTGACTTTGTTTTCTGCTCCTCAATTTGATATAGAGGACATACGGTTTATTACTGTGGTGCATGTAGGAGAGAATCCAGAGATGGTTTTCTCATGAAAAGAAAATGTTTAATATTTTGTGAAAGTAATCTGAAAGATCAGGTTAGCCTATCTTTGGGCTATCCACAGATATGTAGTTAAACTGTTTCTCATACGCAAAAAACATAGGAGAGTGAGCATAGTGAATTCTCTTAAATGTAATTGCCTTTAATGTCATCTTCTCTGAAAGCACTAGTGGGAAAATTTCAAATGAGGAATCAAAGCGTCCTTGTAAAAATCATATTCTTTATGTTTACTCTTAATGTGGAAAAGGAATTTATGGAAATGGGGGTAGATCTCCATTTTTATTTTGAAGAATTGTAGAAGTGAATCAACTGCCAATTCTTTCTTTTAAGCTGCAAGATGTATTTTCGTGTCTCTAAACCTGCTCAAGAAAGCACAATCACTGCACTTACAGATCTGCTTCCTCTGCATACATACATTATTAATAAAGATTGCAGATGCAC